ATTACCCAAATTTCAATCAAATATTATAAATAGGAATACCAAATCCAAAGAAACCTTTTTCTCTGAGTACATGGAAGACGCGTATGTGTCCGACCTGTGCCTAAATTCATATGGGAAGGCATCAGTGATCCCTAGCGTACTGAATATGGAAGAATTTTCGCGCCAATTGGCGAAACGAGAAAGCAAGTCCGAACGACAAGATTCTATCCTGTCCCAGATCTCGTCTCTCAATGACGCTCGTTTCCTCGTCTCTCCCTTTTGCTCTATCCGTCACATATTTTGTAATGCAACCCGGTAGTCGACTGACCGGAGAGAACGATCGAGAGCGATACAGCGCAAGTATCTGCTCTCGGCTACTCGAGCCCGGCAGCGAGTTTGTCAGCGCGATGTTTGCGTGCCACTCCGTTAAATTTTCAAGATAAACTTCTGGTTTTCTGATTGTATTAGCTGTACCGTAAGTCGGGTTTTATTCCGACGAGCTAACTCGGTCCGTTGAGATCCGGTGATCGTCTCGTTTGCATTTTAAACGCGTTTCTCCCTCGTTTACCAGATGCGACTGGCCGAAAATGTAATCGAAACCGGGAATTAGTTCTCGGAGACTCATAATGGCTCCATATACTCTTGCTCCATTTATGTGTTACGTAACTTCGTCCGGCAACCGGTCGATACTCGGGCTGAAACGAAAAGGGAACAGGGAATACTAAATTAAGAAGTTTCCTCGCATAGATTCTTCCAGATTGTAAAATATGTAGGGGTATCCGATTGTATTCCTCCGCGCGAAACTTCCGCGAGAAAGCTGGCTCGAGGCGGAATAACACCCCGCGGGTCCCGCTGAAAAAGGAGAAATATATATATTTTTTTATTATCGATTCTTGCGCTCCACCCTTTCTCTTCGTCACTTTTGCGTGATCAACGAATTAATTGCTCGACTCGCGCGCCAATCCGACGGCGCGTTCCCTCGTTTCCTCTCCCGTTTTACGATCGCAGCGTGATGCAACGCGCGCCGTGCCGACCTTGATTATCAATAAGGAAAAATCGATACATAGAATTAACGAGAACGCGG